CTAAAACACCCTGTATATATAAATATATATATATGATTAGTCAGGTTTTCCAGCTAACAGATCTCATTTAATTGAACAAAAAGGTTTATGTAAACTTATAGGCTTATTTCACGGCATCGTTCTAATTCACTTCTTTCAATTTATATACGGTAAGGAACTACTGAGGTGATTATGAAGAACCTATGATCCATAGGCCTTTATACTCTTATAGCCTAGGTACAGGGAGTTTAATCGATTTTGACCATTTCTTTGTGTCTTCACAGCTTTTCAACAACCCGTTATATTTTTGCGATTCAACCGAATCAACTATGATACTAACAGAAAAAGAAATCGGGTCTTAACCAGGACAATACTGTTTTACCCTGCGGCATGAAATTTCTGAAGTTTCATTCAAATATTTGAAAATACTACAGAAACTCCAACGATGCACTTTTGTTATTGAAGTATGCGATTTTCTATGAGCTGGAGATATCGATTTCGCTCGTTTGGGAGTACAAGAATCGATACTTTATGGTCTATAACGTACTATTTAAGACGATGTGCGCGGCATTAATGTTAGAGTCAAAAGAAGGTCATCCTTTCAAACAGTTAATTCATCTAGACTGTTCAAAACATACTCCCCCCATGACCATGTTAAAAACTAATGATTGGCATTCGCGTATCCACATATTGAGGAAAATTTCATTGAAAAAAATTTACATACACACGACTATTACACAGCCGGAGGAATATCACAGGCAGAGTAAATAGCCTCAACGACTGGGTGGTACCCATCCATATGGCATGTAATTTCATGAAGCCGGAGACTGCTGGTTGCCTTCGTGTAGTTTTCCTGTCAGTAGCACAATAAATTCGATTGAATAAGCTGGGAACCCGTACCTTGTCTCAAATAAAATAAAAAACTTTTTTTCGGCAATCTGTTTATGACCCCAGAGTTTTCTCCTCTGGGGTCATTAGCTAGTTCGTATTAGATGTCATCATTCTCTTTTGGTCTCAATCTTTTCTAGGATCCTTTAAAAAATGGGTAGCGTCAAGTTTCAAGAGTGTTTTTGTAACTTTCAGGCGTTTTAGATTGACATTGATTCTCATATAGAATCTTGTGCTGATTACGATTCTGCTGTCAAAAATGGTGGTTGTTATTCGAATTTTCCACATGACCTCTAAGGTCGTTATCCGAGTGACTAGAGATCATCAATAATCCTTTTTTGATGCTTTGAATATTTTGTGAAAACCTTTTTTTGAAATAATGGATAATAGTTTTTCATTTATAAAGTCGCTTCAAATTCAAATTGTATTTTAGGCAGGCCGCTATTACCGTCGTTTACAGCATCAAGCGGCGGTAAATCGGCGCCTACTTCGTACAGGTTCGGACCATATACAGCAGGCCAGACTATATATACTACAATCTCTGTTAGTTGAGAACTGCTTGTTGGTAGTATAGGAATAATTTAGTAAAAATATCGACTCGCTATCGGCGGCAGTGAAGTAATATTATGTACAATGCATGAGGCACAATACATCAACAGAACGACTCATTCTGTCTAAATTATTATTATGTCAATGTTAAATATAAAACATTTTCGCAATCAATGTATTTGTTCATAACTATACAGTTTAGCTAGACGACGAAATTTCAACTTCAAGAATTATGTGAGAAGTGCTTAGAATAAAGTACAACCAAGTAGGCTTACACTAAAATTGGTCAGATGCGACTCAGAGGCGTCTTACCAACACAGAAATTCTAACCTTTGTTAGCGATATATGCAGCCATCAAGGTATGTCTGTTTCTAGAATTTTTGAACAACCCACGCTTCTACTATGTCCGGAAATAGCCTGAAAGTATACAAACATCAAAGAACTATTTTGCGCGTTTTCAGGTGTTGAAGCAATGGCAAGAAGATTCAGGAAACGAAGCATTTAAGTTGTTATCTGGCTATTATAGGCATAGCAGTAGATTTGTGTCAAAATTGTATTCTAATCCGGACGTTAATTTTCAAACTATTTATTTTGAAACCCTTGATCTGACTCGTCACAAATAGAATCTGTTTGCCCCATCTCTCTGGCTGAATAGAGCGCGTCGACAACTCGGTGCTCTATGTGCGTGTAGAATCCACTCGTAACAAATATAAATCAGAGTATCATTTAGGTTTATCGGGCTGTTGAGCCGGGGTCGGGTTGGAGTTGATCTTATAAGGAAATAGTGATTCTACCGGCTGACAAAGGAAACACCACCGTAGTCCTGAACAATGTAGACTATCAGATAGAAATAGAAGTACATCTGGACTCTGCCACATATAAAGCCATCCGCAATGATCCGATGCGGAAATTCCTGAGAAAAAACAGTCTACTCATCAAACATCATTACCCCCGAGGTTTAAAAATCACTATGTAGATCAGAAGCCCTTCCACCCAGATTGTACGATCTACCAAAAATTGACAAGTCATCTGTTCCCCTTAGACCTATCGTCAGTCAACTTAGCGAAACATCTAACGAATATGCTCCAGCCTCAAATCCGTCACAGCCAGTCGTATGTCAAGGACGCCACCGATTCCAAAAGAAAGGTACAGAACATCCGGCTCACGCTAGATGACATTTTGGTCAGTTTCGATGTAGTGTCGTTTTTCACAAATGTCCCACTAGACCTATCACAGGATTACCTAAAGCAATTTTTCCAGAGGATATCCTGTACTTGTTGCGACACACCCTAACAACTACATATTTCCAGTGGAACAATCAATTTTATGAACAAAGTGACGGTGTCGCAATGGGAGGTCCGCCAAGCCCGGTAATATCCAATTTCTACATGGAAAAGCTCGAGGAAGCAGCACTGAACACCGTCCCAAATCGTCTCAGTTGTTGGCTACGGTATGTGGGTGATACCTTCGTGGTATGGAGCCACGGAAGAACAGAACTAGCAGTGTTCCTAAATGACCTAAGGATCATCCCAAAATCAAATTCACAATGGAGATAGAAGAAGACAATCAACTGGCCTTCCTGGATGTATTGGCGGTCAGACGAGAGAACTTAAAGCTGGGTCACAGAGCTTAACGCAAAGCAACAAACACTGACAGATATCTACACAAGGATACCAACCATCATCCTGGACAAAAAAGAGGTGTCATTAAAAATCTGATAGACGAATTCTTGAACCTCAATACCTGCAGGGGGAACTGGAACATGTTAGCATGGTTTTACAAGCAACCGGTTATCGCAGGGAACAAATAAAACAGGTTTCACGACAAAAATGCAGACCGCCGGCAGGAGACAAGGAACCACCTACGGGAGTCTCCTTCCTACGATACATTAAAGGCATTACGGGTAGAATAGGAAGGTTGCTACAGAAACACAATGTCAAGACTATCTACAAGCCGACAAATGAAATCCAGCAACTCCTAACATCAATAAACGACCCGAGGGACCCACTGAGCGGTGCTGACGTATACAGAATACCGTGTTCCTGTGGTAAAGTATACGTAGGCACCACCAAGCGTAGTTTTCAAACACGCATTAAGGAGCACGAAAGGCACTGTGGAGTGCACTCCAAGATAGCCACAATGTTCTGTTCGACCAAACTGAAGTCTTATCAACATCCACCTACTACTCAGCCCGAATGTGCAGAGAAGCAATTGAAATCTACAAACACAATGATCATTTCAATAGAAAATAAGAAGGCCTTGCTTAAAACAAAATATGCTTTCCAATTCTAAAAAACAAAGCGCAAAAGCCACGTCACTCAAGAGACCCAGAGTACCCCCACCCGACAGCTAAGTCCTCAGTCTGCCGATCGCCTATAAAACCGCACGCCCATCCAGTTAACCGATCAGTTTCAGTCGACCCGCCAAGCCGAGCACTTCGCTCTCGCCGACATCGCCACTGATGGCTACCGCAGATGTAGCTGAAAGCCCGAAAAACCTAAATGACATTAGAATTTGCTATTAAAGCCTCCATTCTTCAATAAATCAGAGTCTCTTCACTGTCAATACATTTCTCACCCTTCAAATAATACCGAGTAATACACTTTATTGTGTAACTTATAAGGTGTTCTAATGGTCAGTTCAATTAAAGAAAGAAAGAAGTTTATGTTAGGTATTGCAAGTTGTGGTCCTAGGACCAACGCTTTATTCGCTTCTTATCCATGATGTCCCTTGCCCCAGCAACTGTGAAGTGTACCTCTATGCTGACGACACTGCACTTGTCTCCCAGTCATGTACAGGTGATCTGGTTCAGGATGGGTTGCAGAGTGCGGTGGAAGAAGTACTAGAGTGGGCAGAACGGTGGCTGATTAAAATAATTCATTTGAAAACGCAGGCTATTGATTGTACCAAAAAACGTCGCGCCCCCCCAGCAGAGGTCAATGCTGTGTAAGGAAGACTGTATAATCGTTCTTGCAATTCTAATAGGAGTGATAATTATTAGTTGGGATGCATGTGCGGCTTGGTGTTTTCTTGCCAAGACACATATGCAAAGTCTTCAAGTACTGCAAATTAAAACATTGTGAACAATTTGCAACGCTCCATGGCATGTCTCATATAAGACACTACATAGACACCTTGGCATTCCTTACTTGAAGGATTATGTCAAGCAGCGCAGCGACGTTATAGTCAAGTTCGTAAACATTCAAGGCCACGGCTCGCACTGTATTCGAAAATTATCGCGAACTTTTAGTAAACTTAGAATTACACTCTAACAGAACCGAATCAAAAATTTATTCAGTTCACCCCAAATTTAATCCATGTACCAAGTCAAAAAGCCTAGGTGTCTTCTATGAAACTAAATACTTCTGTTTTTCTTTGCTCTTCTCCATTTTTCTTTTCTTTCCCTTTCTCTTTTTCCTTGACATTGTCTGGTTTCTGGGCATCCAGTACTGACAGATTCGACTAACGTACATTAGACAGTGACTACGGACCGCCCAGACACACAAATGAGAATAGTAGTAGTATTGCAAGTTATATAGGTCCTCGGAAATGCTGTGGAAATGTCAAAACATAAAACAATAAAGTTAACCATAAACGAATTGAGGAGTTTTACTATAAGGGTATAAAAGCCCGCAAGCTTACAAATTTATTACAACAGCAGCTCAAAATACAAAGTAACAAATAGTCTTTCAATTTACTTTATCCCATCATATTCACTCTCCCCATACTTCCCATTCCTCTTCCAGGCATCACGTTACCCATGCCCATATTGCCTCTGCCCATCCCTGGCATCGAGCGTCCACCACCCATATTGCCCATACCTGGTATGCCCATTCTTTGAGGAGATGCCCATGCTACCACCAGCATCAGGAGTAACAAGAATATCGTCTGAAAATAAAATTTATGAAGGTTACAGGTAACAGAAAGAAAAATGTTTTCTTTCAAAAGGCTACTAACTGTTAATACTGACTCAAAGGTAGGCAATGTTTTGGAAGTTCTATGTCTTTCAATATCACCAGGTGTCACAAACTCGACTCTCAGTATAGGGATATCGGAAGGGGTACGAGATGCGAAGTGATAACTAAACCATGAAAATGATACTCAAAAAGTTTCGCTGTTCCGATTTTTCAGGGGATATACAAACAAAACCGAATTTTCAGAAAATCGTTTTTATTTTTTTCTGGTTATATTATAGAAATACATTAACCTTGCAATGTTTTCTCATCCACAAGATTGCATAAATAGAATTTCAAAATGTCGTTTCGTCTTAATCACCAACTTTATTTTCTCATAGACGGCCGTGTTTATTTGATTGTTGAACATAGTTGTAATCACCGGTTTTGGCGGTTACGTCATCAACGCCAAATGAAATAAGTAAACAGATCAAGTCTCCGTACCATAGGCGGATCTTTCTAATTTTTCTAACTGAGGAAAATCGATTCAAAGTTATTTACTAATCGTAATTCTAAAAAATATTCTAATCTAGTACATAATCATGGGTAGAGTATGACGTGTCATTTGATGTTTTTTAGAGTGAAATAAATGATACATACGGAATTTACAGTATAATACAAAATAACACATCTATTTGCTAACTTGATTGAAAATTTAAGATGGGATTTGGATATCTGACAAACTTATGAGAGCTTTAGGAGAACCATCTTCAATAAGAAAAATGGTCAATTTTTCCTGGAGTGAAATGCGACAGAAAGTACATTATGATGATAATGCTTTTAAACTTGAGCTCAATGATTATATTAGTCTCCTCCCTATTAAACACTTGATGCTTGCCCCAGTCATTTTTAATCATGTCCTCGGTATGTTTTACATACTTGGCCCAAACTGTAGGGGTCACCTTCGCTAGAGCATCGTCCCAAACCTTTAAAACTTCCTTGCGACCATAGCCATTTTCCCCAATATGACGATCAAAGTACTGTTTCGCTATTCCCCAGACTATGGTATAATGGTAAGGAGGAAGCCGCAAAACTTGATGTCCATGTTCATGTAATATTTTGTCTATGATATATCTTGGAGTCTATGGTTTATTAAGGCGACATAGATTCAAAAGCTCGAGTTTAAAAGCCTCATCATCAGAATGTACCTTTTTCCTTGCAGCCATTGCTTCAATTGCATTTTTTTCTATTAAGGCACTATGATAAGAGGCGCTATCCATGATTACTAAAGATGGATCCTATAACGTTGGTATCAGCTTCTCACATACCCATTTTTTGAAAGAATCTTTGTCCATGGAACCCTGGTAGTCAGCACTATTAGATTTTGCAGCAAATAGAATGCCGTAACTCTCAAAAAACCGTTTTTGGTCCCAGCATGAAGAACAACATGCCGCTGGCCGGTACCGTGATGGCCGCTTTTCAAGCTCTTTACGTTTTCATCTTGCCAAACTCGTTTAAACGACCCTTTGGCAAATGTCCTCGTTTCATCGAAGAAAACTCATTGGAGGGGGATTGTACTATTAAGGTTATTCATATACTGTCTCGTAAAATAGGTACGCTTCGAAACAATGTCTGATTTTTCACACAAGAGTCGGCGGTTATCTTGTGTCTTCTAGGAAAAACCGTAAGCTTTCAATAGACGCCTTAAACTTGAATCCGAGGCGTTGTATCTGTAGCTTTTCTGAGCTCCTGATTGAGCGCAGAGTTCATGATATGTTGTCCTTTACTTCTCTCATCGTGTAAAGTATTCCTAATTTTTGTTTTAACGGCATCACTTACATCATCGGTCTTGCATTTTTTTATTTTTTGAGTTTCCCACGATGTAACTATGGGCAAACCTTTCTTATCTTATGATATTATTCGCTGTACATTGCGCAAACTAATCTTCAGCACACCTGCTACTCTCTCTAGTACGCATGAAGAGCGGGACGGTTATTTTCATTCTCTTCCTGGAGACACTAATAAACTTACCACGAGCTTTCGGCCTTCACCATTGATCGTATTTCCGGGCATTATACAATTTTATATTGAAGATTGATAACAGGACAACTCGCATTGCACGTCGATGTCAAGTAAGTTTCAAAATTAAGTTTGATCAACAAGATTCATTTGTATAAAATGGTCATGAGACCTGCAATCACCTACGCATGCCCGGCTTGTTGTTTTCTTGCCAAGACGCACATGAAGAGACTGCAAGTCCTGCAAAACAGAACCCTACGCACAATCACTAACGCCCCTTGGTACGTGTCAAATGTGGCCATTCACAGAGATCTTGATATCTCATATCTAAGAGATTATGTAAAATAATCGGCGTTATAAACAAGCGGACTCGCACAGCAATCCTCTGTTGCGTGATTCAGTGGACTACACAAGTCGAGCAAGTTCGCAAACATTCCAGGCCGCGCCTCGCACTGTGATCAAAATTAAATTGTGAATTTCAGACCAACCAAAATTATTTCAGCATACAAAACCGATCAAAATTATTTTTTGGGGTTACCAAATTATCCGAGTAGTCAAAGCAATAATGCTTAAGCTATTTCAAATGATTCACTTCTTTTCTTAGCTCTATTTCTTCCGTCCTTTCTTTCCTTCTTTCCCTTTTCCCCTTAAACATGTTTGGTATATCGGTAGCCAGACCTGACAGACTAACAGACCGACTAGACTTTTAACTGAGAGCAAAGGTCCACCGGACCGCTCTGACGAACAATGGTAGTCAAGTAAGATGTCACTCTGCCAAATATGATTGATGGGCACTCATACGTAACGACAAAGTTTTCGAGATGGAGGCACACAACTAAAACACGTATGTCTTTGAGCTTACCGAACAAATGTTCACACACAGGGGTGGGTTGCATGTGTATGTATGAGGGAGATGGAGGTATATAAAGGGATACTGGTAGTCTTTTACCCGCCAAAAATGGCAATTAAAACTATACAGCTATTTATTTATAATATGCCATATGTTGACATTGTCATGCCTCACTTATTAAAAAAAATATATGGTTTGATCTGAAAATGACCCGTTTATCCGATTAAATCACCAATGCTTCAATTTCTGAAAAGCGTTTTTCAAAACCATTCAGATGATTGTCCATTTATCCAGTATAACAAGCGTTATGTTAGCACGATGGAGATCGATTTAGATATAGGGAATATGAAATGTGTTTAGGAAGCTGTAACATCGTCGAGGTTTTACTCCAAAATGCTTTTATCCTTTACATGAAATAATACTGTTTTCAATGTTTACAAGATGACCCGTAAATGATATCTACAAATTTTAGCATTAGATTGTTCTTTATGCGATGCGTTAGGACTAAGTAAAGACATATTACTTTTTGGGATATTTGAGGTTATATAATAATATATATAATATAAAATAATTATATAATATCTATCCATGGCATGATATTATGTTAAATATCACATCAATAAAGACGGAAATAGGGACTGTTTACTTATGCCTAGTTAAGAAGAACTTGTGACTGATGAATACAAAACAAATAGGTATATGAAATTTCAAGAAATACTGTTTTTTTTTTAACTAATGTCAGGGGCGCAGCTACCGACCGGCTTACATGGACCCCACTTATGAAAAAAATATGCGTAAATTGTTTTTCTCAATATCACGCAAGTTTTTAGGCCGTACGCTAAATTAAATATGTGTCTGTAGCATGTTTTCTATTTTTACAAGCTTTTATTTGACATGACCTGTATGTAGATATGATAGGTACTATGTTAATGTGGAGCAAATCTTGGAAGTGAATTTTGAACCACTTAATTGTTTGGTTCGCGGGACAACCGAGAATGAATTAGCTGCCTCCATTTTGAGTCCAATGTGAAGGATGTTACAAGATGGCGATTCATCGTATCCATAGTAATCGCTATAAAATGGTTGCAAAAAGAAACAGTCTGATGAAACGCAATAAACGAAGTGACGTCACTCTATATGCAATATGACGGCTGCTGCAAAATGGCGACTTACATTTTTATAGACAGCCCTATGATATGCTTAATAAGAGAAACACAATGAGGAATGTGACGTTATTCTAAATCCAATACGGCAACCACCCCAAGATGGTGTTTATGATTACCATAGTTACCCCTAAATCCAATATGGCGACCACCGCAAAAATGGCGATTTACAAATAAGATAATTCTAAATTCCGTATGGCGTTCGCTGTTTAATATCGATTTATCATTATATCAATATAAGTGGAGTCCTAACAGTGAAATATATGAAAATGATAAAGAAATTACGGAACAAGCTTTTATTAAAGTGAATATAAAAATATTTTTTTCGATTGGGAATATTTAAACGACAATAAAGCTCCTTCATCTGAAGTTTTCAAATATAAGCTTGGTATGCTTTGATAGCAGGATGAACAATGTATAGAAAACGCTTCTATTTGAAGACTTGAGATGAAATAAACTCCATTATCGTTTAAATATTTCTTATCGGAAAAAAGTACTTTCAAGTTTTTAGTTCACTTTATCAACAGGTTGTTTTTTGAACGTATTTTCTATTTATCAACCCTCTAGACTACAACTGCAACAGCTGAAAGAAGGTTTTCAACAATAAAAGTAATTGAGGCAACTATCAAGCATGGTGTTCCGCTATGGATGGTTTAATAGAAAAAATTTTGGGAGAAAATAGTTGCAAGTAGATTGGCTCGGTAACTTCCAACAACGGAAAAATAAACACAATTTTTGAACATCATATTTGAGTATGCCTTAATTGGAAGCAATCAGAAATAATGAAAGCTGGTTCTAGAAATTTTTAGAAATTGAAACCCCTCCACAAAGATGTTTGATTACCCTTAAACATGTTCAGAAACTTTTAAATAATAAAAAACATAAATTAGAACAATCTGAAAGCTATTTTAATTTTTACTGGTAACACAGCTACCATTTAAGCGATATTCAAAAATGCAAGTAGCATTTAGGTGGTAAAACAAAAAACAGGTATATGCATTTCTAAACTGTTCGCATCCACACAACTCTCCTCACCGACCCCGGAAAACTGCTACCCCTCGCTCTTCAGGTACGCTTTTACAGAATGTTATCTCTTGCCGATGATCCACCCCCTCTGACTGAGAAAACCTCATGCGGGCGCCCATGGTCGATACGTGACAAATCATATTGTTCAATGCAAGCGTTTATGTTTCTTTTGTAAACCTCTATACTTCCTTACCCTCCATTTGGGGTTCGCCACAGTTGGGTGGAGCCCCTACAAATTCAGATATGGGGTCCCTGAGGAGCAAACTACGCCACTGGTAAATGTATGGCATATTAAACATGCAACTTTCCCTCCATTTAACCGAGCTCGTATCTCTTACCGTTTCCAGAAAATTATACCAAGTCCACAAATTTTGGGGAGATCATCACAATCATGGCTTCCACAAAGACGATATATCCACAAATATGGCACATTTATATCCAGAATGATTGGAATAAAAAGCACTGGACTATTTTCCATAAAACTGAAAGAATGGCATAACGCTGGTACATTTTAGGAACATAACTAAAAACTACAGGGGTAATAATACACAGGGAGATACATATGGAAAAGTTAAGTTCTATTAGAGACCAGTGTGCCAAGTTAACTCATATAAATTGCAGACCATCTTGCTAAATTTAAATAGCTCTTTGGATAATAACTTCATTGATGAGTTCTATATAAATTGGGAACAGGAAGTAATACACTTTCCTATTATCATGCTTTCGACGATCACTGTGGTCACTCAGTATACAAACAAATATTTTTGCTACCTCTATCAAATCTATTTCTATGTAAATGTCTTCTGTATTGCGCATAACGTCAGTACTATTCAATACTCTCGCGCTAATAACCATTCTGTATAACTACAAATTGCAACTCACCTGTTTCAACATGATAAGAATAACACCGACTCTTTGTGATGGTTGAATTAGTTTGAAATTGGATATTTATATATAACTACCATCATAATGCAGGCGTGAAATCACAATGTTATGGTCGGCCTGCTGGAAATGATGATACAATTCAAGAACTCTGAGAAGAATATATCAATTTGATCGTAATTACGTGAGAAAATTTCCGGCTAATTATTGCCTTTTGTTTCCACCTTTATACTCTCGTTTATGTTGTAAAGGTCGTAATAGCCACGTAGTCGTAATTGAAAAGAATGTGGCAAGCTGGTTAACTTTTAACGTCCGACACAGTGTGGCATTAGTGTGAAGGTATACTGTAACCTGATTTAAAAGTTGCTAAAAATATTTTAAAAAAGAGTTTGTCATAATTGTCATCAAATGCAGTCCATTCCAGAAATACTCTTTATTATTGAACTAATATCGGGACGTCTGAAGTGCAACAGATAAACTACATGATCCCATTTTTAAAAATGTTGGTTGAATGCATAGATTGATGACTCATATTTTAATATCAAATTCTTCGTTTTATTCTATTCGTCATTGTCCGTCAGTAGGTCCTTTTTTGTGTGCAGAGGAAGAACGTGATGGTCTTCGTGTCTTCATGTGTTCGCCGCGGTGTTATAATTGCACGCACCGCTCTTTACGGTGAGTATGGGGTCCTATTCCAGGAAAAAACCTCTGCTACTGCCTCTTCTCCACACAGCACCGGAACTTCGGCAGTCTTAATTTGCTATGTTGTAGTAGCATTGTCCTTCTCGTTCCTCTTGTTCTCCAATATAGTTCTAGCCATCTCAGCTATACAGGCATTCCCAGTCCCATTCGCTCCTAAGCATGAGGTTTGCGACATTGTCTTTAGTTATATCATCTCCACTTAATGAGGAGCGTTCGAATCTGCGTTCCTGTCACTGCTGACAATGGATGTTCAGCATCGTCGTCCTGCAACCTGCAGTACTTGAATGTAGGCCTATGAACTATCTTAAGACGATATAAGTAGGCTTGAGAAAATCCATGTACTGACAACATTTGGGTTACAAAGAAGTACACCTCCCCATGAGATCCGCTCTTCCTCCAACTTCCTTTTCAGTACTTTCCCACCGTGTCTGGCAATGTTCGAAAAGGTTGTCTTTGCTGACATTTGAGCATATCTCCGCTCTTTGTCTCACCAATAAGTTCATTCGAGAATTCCTGAAATCACCGCTACAGCGTCTGCCGTTACTGTCCTATATTCACTACAAACCCTCAGTGCCATTTTCCTTATCACTGCATTCAGTCGCTGTCGAGTTCTGCCAGAATCCATAGCATCGCACCACACTGGAGCCGCGTACAGTATCACAGACTGTGCTATTGTGCTGAGAGTCCTCATTTTGCTCGATCTAGGACCTCCTGTATTGGGCATCACTCTGGACAGTATCGAAACTATATTTTCGACTTTAGCTGCGGTCTTGTTAACCTGATCTTTAATAGTCAGCTTGCTATGAAAACACACTCTTAGGTACTTTATGGAAGACTGCGGGTGTATGTCCTTGTCTTGTACGTTAAAGGTAATTGCCTCCAATTTTCTTTAGCTTGTTACCTCTTTTTTCAGGTGCGATCAGTAGTCCTCTACTCTCCATCTATGCAGCTATTTCGTCAATAGCCCAATTTGTTTTAGCTACTATCTCCTGTTCATCCCATGCAACAACCACCACAGCCAAATCATCTGCATAGGCGACTGTTGTCACGTCTGTGGTTAATTCCAGGTCCAGAGCTCCATTATATAAGACGTTCCACAGCGTTGGGCCAAGAATGTAACCCTGTGGGACTCCTCCGGCTGAGAGTATCTCTACAAGTTTAAGTCGAATCCTTCTATCCTGTAAGTAGTTGGCAATCAGTTGCAGAATATCTCTCTAATCCTTAGTCCACTGATCTCACTGATAATGGCTTATCTTGACGCATTCTTGATATCAAGTGCTAACACGGCGCATATCCCCCTTTTGCGGTTTACCACCACCCACGACTGCCTCGCAAATTCTATGACTTTTTGTACGATCTATATGGTAGATCCTCCTGGCTTGAATCCGAGAGGGTAAATTCCCTTCCAATTCCTGATAGAGCCTGTTGTTCATCATATACTCTAATAATTTGCCCGCAGTATCTAAAAGCGTAATGGGTATTTTTTGTGAAGAAGGTTTGTTGAGTGTGTTCTCTTGTTTAGGCAATAGGTCTAGGTCTCATTGTTTCCAAATGCTCGGCCGTCAGTAGGTCTGTCAGGTCTGGTTGTCCAGATACCAGACAAAGTCAGAGAGAAAGAAATGAAGAAGAAAGAAAGGAGGGAAGGGGGAAGAGCAAAGAGAAGAAAGTGCGTCAGTAAATGGGATGCCTTGGTATATGGTGGTTTTAAATTGATCCAAAAATTAATCCGGGAATTTGTATGTGTGGGAAAAATAGTAAATTTGGTTGGACCTAGATTTGCACGTTTTGATTTTGTTCACAGTGCGAACCACGGTCTTGTGTGCTTACGAACTTGCTCGACTGTGTAAGCTACTGACTCACGCAACACAGGGTTGCTGTGTGATTCCGTTTGATGTCGAAGTCTCTGCGACGGGTCTGTGGGAGACGTGCCGTGGTGGGTTAGTGATAGTACGCAAGGTTCTGTTTTGCAAAACCTGCAGACTACGCATATGCATTTTCTAATAGCCATATCCTATAGCCGTACTTAATTTTAAGGTTCCAGATACCTAGCAAAATGTTCCCATGGTAAGCGAGCTCTAGTTACTGAAACCCCAGGTGCCGCTACGTCTTTTAGTACAATGGATAGCCTGGATTCAAGGGGCCCGACTGGGCTATCAGTACAGAGTCACCAGCGTATAGATAGACTTCAAAGTCACTGGGGCGCTTCCGTTTTCATCGCTACCTTAAAATACTAATACGATTACTACTATCGTAACCAATTTATAAATGATAAATATGACATTTAGTTATCTATCATAAAAAGAGATCGAAGAAAACCTTCGTAAAGGTCATGCACGTGTAAAAGCTGTATAAAGTGCTCACTTTAAAGTAGTTTGCATACAGGAGTACTAAATTATAACGATATTTTCATTTCAGACCATCCATTAGCTTATTTCACCTACTTAAATCGTAATTATACATCCTGAGACCCTTCGCTGCTACTTTATTCTACGCTAATTGCACTAGCAGCAGATGTTTTTGCATAAAATTCACCAAAATAATCAATAGACAATTACCATTGTGATGAGAAAATGTACAAGGAAGGCTTAGGACCGACTCCACAAACATTGTGATTTTGATTATTCGAATGAGGCCACTTTGAAATATAGAAGCATTATTTTGCCAAAAATTCTAACAAACACTCGTATCTTCTAAGGTTTCTATCAGAATGGTGATCTTGTATTTTATAGAAGAAGGGTATTTTCTAAACCTCAAATCGTGCGTTTTTGGCTGATTGGCGGAGCTTTGGCAAGAAGCCAATGAGATCATAAGGACATACGAGTATGCAGACAAACACAGATGCTATTGTATCTCTAGAAAGCATTTTCAGTGACATAATCACTCTGTACAATTAGCGTTGCTTGGAATACTGTCCACATATCTGGAGTCCTGCTGCTTCAATTACGCTGTCTATGCTGGATGCGGTTGACTGGTCACCTGTAACTCCATTGGTCATTATTAAGCCCCTCTCCCTTGCCCCCTTGCCCAGTGGCGCTGGTAATCTAGTTACCCATAAGCTAAATGACGATGCTTCTCTAAGGGCCGTATTGTCAGTCGTTCCTACAATTGTAGGACGCCCTTATGGCCCTTTTCATAAGCGTTTCTCTCCTTCAGAAAGGCTGGGATATTTCTAGATTTCTACTGTTCCGTATCTGCGTCAACGCTCTGCTATTATCAGAATATGTTTTTTTCTTGAATTGTAGGAAATTTCAAGCTATATAACAGATGATATACTCAAAAGCATGATCAATCTGATGCAAATGGATATTTGTAACATAACCCCAAAACAGAGCGCTGACACGGAAAAGTAGAAAACTATGAAAATCAAGGAGGCCATAAGGCCGTCCTACAATTGTAGGAACGACTGAGCGTACGGCCCTTAGTTTTCCTCCACGATACTGTCATTCTATAGACCTGCCAAACGGTCCCGTAAGGGTTCTGCTTCTCACTTTATATCCGTTATATCAGGTACAGTGGGTCAAAAGAGTATTGGCAGACCCTATTTTTTCCTTGAATCTTAATAACTTAAAGATTAAACTTTTGCTACTAAATTTATCTGAAAACTAACATACAATTATTTTTGGTAAAAATAGATTAAGCAAATTAAAAATAGTACATTTAGGACTAATAATGAAAATTGTGAAAATTGAAGTGTCCAAAATATATTGGCACCCTAATGAAACAAACCAGTAAATAACCGTTAACAAAATTTTTACAGGTAGGACTTTGTTGTCATACCATTTGCATCAATTATGGCCTGAAGCCACCGTGGCATGGACATTTTGAGTTATTTCTGGTCCAGATTGATAGCATTCCTGCATAAAAACATCTTGTAGCTGTCGTTTGGCAATAATTTCACTGTGTCGACACTTCGGGTCCAGCAAGTAGCATGGGATTGATAACCTGGGTTTGCGGTGGAGTTCTGGGTTATGCAGGAATATTGAAAACTAACCTTTCCTTTGTGTGCTTAGGATCGTTATCCTGATGAAAGATATATGTATCCTGATCCCCATTTTGATTGATTACCTTACAATGTTCTTACACAGTCGCCCAATCCCCGAATATCAAACCCATCAAACATTTGCGGTTCTTGCTGTACCTGATGGCCCGAAACAATGAAACTTCCGCAAAACGACAGCTACAAAATCTTCTTATGCAGAAATTGAACCAAACTGGACAAGAAATGACACAGAAATTCTATACCACGATGGCTTCAAGCCATAGTTGGTGCAAATGGTATGATAACGAAGTACTAGCCAACCAACGGTAAAGCAGCTTTACGCCTTCCGCAGTGGTCGATTCTGGTGTGCTAAATGGCTCTCAATGATTATTTTTTTGGCAAATTTCATAATTTATTGATCTATTGAGCTCAAAACTATCTAATACTAAATTTCACACATATTATATACTAAGTGACATATAAATCCGAACACCCAGTTTAAATGGTTTTATTTTAATAAAAGTTGGTGAATGTATTTATCTTACTGTAAATAACAAGTGAAAAAATTTTCAGCTTTATCAGTTGGACATTTCGGTTTTTATACTGTTTTTTTTTAATTCACTATCGCTCTAAAAGTGAATATTTCTGCCGCAGTAAAGAATAAACGTTGGCGGATTTTGGTTCTTGACATCCTTTACGATCGGTTACGATGCCTAGAGTACGGAGACCTGTACGATTTCGTCAACTTAGTGACCTTGATAGGGGCCGTATAGTGGGACTTCGGGAAGCTGGACTTTCTTTTCGGGCAATTGCAGTTAGAGTGCAAAGAAGTGTAGACACTGTGGTTAGGTGTTGTCAGGCATGGCTTCGAGAAGGCCGTACGCAAAGAGCAAGGGGCACTGGACGCTGCCGTAGAACAACAGACCGTGAAGATCACCGCCTAAGATCATTGGCCTTAAGGGACCGTTTCTCCACTACCAGGTCCATTGCAAATGAATGGTTTGCAGAACACGGAAGACCTATTGGCATGCGAAGTGTTTACCGACGAATGAGAAGTTTTGGCTTGTTTTCATACCGGCCACACTGGGTCCTCCCTTTAACTCGAGAACACCGACGTAATCGCCTTGAGTGGTGCAGAGAACGGTCACTCTGGGATCAGGAATGGAACAGTATTGTCTTTAGTGACGAGTCTCGATTTTGTTTAGGCATGCACGATGGTCGTGCCAGGATTAGACGGCGACGTGATGAAAGGAGGAATCCACAGTTTTTTGTTGAAAGACATGTTCATCACACTGTTGGAGTTATGGTTTGGGGTGCTATAGCTTATAGTTCCAGGTCACCTTTAATCTTCATCAGAGGTAATATGAACGCGCAGCGTTATATCCACGAAGTTCTAGAACCCCATCTTTTACCCTATCTTGACACCCTGGCAGATCCAACTTTCCAACAAGATAATGCCCGACCACATGTTGCAAGAGTCACAATAGACTTCTTTCAACATAATGATGTCACATTGTTACCATGGCCACCAAGATCTCCCGACTTATCCCCAATTGAGCACGTGTGGGATATGATGGGTAGGAGATTGCTCAATTTGCAACATCCTCCTCAGAATCTAAAAGCACTTCGAGGGGAGTTGGTGGTTGCCTGGAATGAGATACCACAGGAGGGAATTGACCACCTGATCAGAAGCATGCCTATGCGCGTTGGAGAATGCGTAGCACATCAGGGTGCATCCACACATTATTAAAGGTCAAAGGGCTTTAAAGCAGTGCAATCATTTTGAAATTTTTATCATTTACTTATTATGCTTCATTAAGTACTTATACAAAATTTTATTAAAATAAAACCATTTAAACTGGGTGTTCGGATTTATATGTCACTTAGTATATATTTCTTTCTTAGTGACTCAGCATTGTGTTGAAGGATATTAATGTTATAATATTTTATTAATGACTATCTCAGAAATTTCCTCATAAAATATCGTTGGTCCCTTGTAGTTGGACTTCTAGTGACCGCACATAGGCAATCAGCACCACTCTGTAGTTTTTGTCCGTACTAACCTATATAAGAATATTTGGTTCCCTATCGATCATATCTTCGTCAAGGCCACTCATTTAACCTTCTTTTATAAACTTAGGCGTTCTGCGTCAGTCACTTTCCTGTTGAGGTTCTGGTGAGTGGGTTGTTTGCTTAACTTC